CAGAAAAATTGATGAGGCAATTTCTCAGTACCGCCAATTATATGAAGGAACAGAAGAATACGATACGACAAGCCACTCTAAATAAGTTTTTCATAAAAAAATCAGATCAATAAATTTTAATTCATTGCATTTTTTTCGTATTTTCTTATATTCCTATACTTTGATTAAAAAATACGCAAAATAGAAATTAATTGTGAATGAGAATGAAAATTGAGGTACGAATTACACGATTTCCTATAAGTTATTATATTCGATTAGTGCGGCTCTTTTAAAGAACACATTAACCGCACTAATCGAGGGATTCCTGTATTTAGTGAGTCAAGAATAGTGTAGAATGATTCGCGTGGAAAACAGCCACTTCATACATCCCAAAGACAAATATGTAGTGAGAAAGTAAGATTCATTATGCTGATGAGAAGGTTAATGTTGGGAATGGGAAGATGCCAGTATTCCACCATAATCGTTTTTGGACGTACATCAGAGAGAAAATGGCCAACTGGCTAGCTTCAGAAAAGACTTTGCCAGGAGTAAGTCATCCTGTTGAAGCACCCAAGGCTTTCATTGAGACAGTTTCAGAGAAGAATTTGCCAGTGGAAAGTCAAACTGCTATCTTGAGACAAATTTTCAGTTTCACCAATGGGAGAGGACTCCCCCAGTGATAAAGCGACAAATGAGGATAAAGGAGAAGAGGTCATCATGGCAACAGAAAAGAAAACCAACAAAATATTTGCAAGGACAGTTTAATGATTGTAACTAAGATAAGAAAAAAATATTGTTGATCAGAATTGTGATTACACTTTGTCTAACATGATTGATTAACGCAAGGTTTCCTTTTTTCTCCTTACTCTGCTCCTTAACTTTGGCCTGGAAACGTCCTTCTGTTGTGGCACTCCAAATTTATTTGGCAAGGTAACCACAAATGTCCGATAGTTATGGCTTTCAACTGGAAGATTACTTAATGTTTAAGTTAGTCATTTTCAATGGACAAACAAGGTGAAAGGCTTGTTGTTCACTTCTCCATCCACTTACTTTATAATTTATTTTAAACTGGACCTAATATGCTTCCAATGATATTTTTTGTCACAATCTGTTGAACTGGCCAGAAAGGTACTGGAACTATATTGGATAGAGATATATCAGGTGTAGTTCAAGAAAGTTCTACAGCCATAGGTGGTACAGAAGTAGTAGTGACAAGAGTAGACTAGATGAGTTCTCCTATTCCAAATTTCAAAGTTGATTGTGTTTTAGGTTTGAATTTTCAGAGAGATGCGGAGAGGTGTGGCTGTTTTGGTCCTTGTATTTACAAATTCATTTTCCGAATGTTTAATTTCATCATTGATACTCTTTTCTCCATCGTTGATTTTGCTGCTTGTAAACATTCTGTAATTTACAAATATTTTGTGTACTTCGAATTTTGACTTTCTTGGCCTTTTTTGTACATTATTTTGTTATAATCTCTCTGTAATTCTATAATCTTGTGATAATCGCTTTGTAGACCTAACATTTTCTTCAGTCATCTTTATTTTAAACCCTTAAAATCTTATGCCTTTTTTAAATTCGTCTCTTACCTGTTGATCTTTTAACTTTGTATAATTTTCTTCTTGGTCTTTATTTAAATCAGTGAGTCTGAAGTCTTATAGGGCTAAAAATCGAGGTTAAGCACAAATAATCCATTTGGTTTAGCAAACTTACATGTCGGTCTCCTTCTACTTGTTCTTCCACTGTTTCATTAACAATAAATTTTCGATCTCACTTCGAGCATGTGTCAAAATCTTGTTGTAGTTTAGTCTAGATTCTATTTTATATTTACCAAAATAATTGCACTCATAACACAAGTATTGTAATGTTTTCTGTCGTTAGGTTGGTTTTATTATTATAAAATAACCGCAAGGTTCAGTCCACTTGATAAAAAGTAAGGCATTATATTTCTTCAACTGAAAGTTTCACATCTTACACGGTTTCACGAATTAGAGATAGCCTAACTCGCAAACAAAACTAACTGAAATTCCCTCTAGCAAACAATATTTTTTACCCTCTGTCCTCTCTTTGGCCATGAGGTAAAACTTCAGAGCGTATTAACAGCTGTATATTCTAGAGCATTAAGGATTCCGAAACTGATGCTCGTAAAGTTCTTTTTTTTTTTTTCAGTGATGAAGACAAGCGAAATCCGAGAAGAGAAATAGATCTTCAAGTAGGATAGAAATACAGAGGGAGGTTTTTCATAAGAGAAGTAACATTTAGGATCATCCTCCAGAAGAGACATCTCATACATGTTGAAAAAATGTTCAGCTGAAGCAAGCAGTTTTCGTAAAGATGAGCTTAGCAACTAGGCAAGGATGTCTTCGAGTTTGGAAGCTGTGTGTGTTTTATTTGCTACGAATATTCTGAAGACGAACATTTGTAAATGTGAAACGAACATACAACTCCTGGGTTGTTGTACTGTGTAGTTTAGTTTTGAAGGCCAGACAGAGGACATGTCGTTCTAGGACTGTAAGTCTTTTGCAAACAATGCAAAAAAAAATCTATATAAAATTATTGAAAACAATAGTAGGGCATTTTTAGTTGCCATACTTACCACATGCAGTAAATCTATATTTATATAAGATTGAAGAATATGTGGCGCTAATGCTAATTAATCTGTTCTTTCAAGTTACTCCGTAAATCAAGAAGATAAAAATAAATACGAAGTTAAATCTATCAATCGACTCATCATTTGTCGCCGAGCTGTTACGGTGTAAAGGAATTCTACCCCCTACCAGTACCCTAGATAATGCTCTTGAGCATTATTCCTTAAGCTTTGGAGATCTGCAACTTTGTTTTAATTAGTTCCGTTCAAAATTTCAGACAGAAAGGTCGTCTCGTGTTCAGTCTATTGTTTTATTTAGCCAACAAACCAATCAACGTATCGTAGTTTAAGTTCTCCCCATCTTCAATTTTATGTAGTTTCCAATTTATTTTTCACTTTAGTTTTCTATTGCGTTAGAACATATTACGAATAAAGATTGATTTTCTTTTATTGTACAATGTTGTCTCTTTTCTCACTAACTATTTTTATTTGGAATCAAACCACCTTTACGCCTATTATTCTCTAATCAGAATCACCTCCAAACTCAAATCTTTAGTATTTGATTGCATCTTATGTATCAATTTTTAATTCTGAAGTATAGAAAATAAATTGTAAAGATAGGTTGACGTCCTAATAAAAATCATTCGCCATTTCTTTATTTATGAGATACTACTTTTGTGAACAGTAGCTATAATTTTTAAAACGCCAATGAATATCCTGAAAATGTTTGTAATATTTCTAATGCCAAATAGGCTTAATAACGATTACTTTAATTAATGTGTTAATTAGCGAGTTACTACGTTC